CTTTCCGAAAGCGACATTGCCGCTCAGTACACAAATTGCAGTGTACCGCATGGTTCTGTTCTTAACTGGTCTGCATTCAAAAATCTTACTCATGGCAATGTCACAGTTGAAGAGCCCTGAACTACATCGGTCAATGATCAAAACTTCTGCAGAGCCTAAAATCAAAGCTCACGTGATGTAAATTCTTAACATTAGTGAATGTACCATATGCATGGCATAGTTCTAAAATAGATACCAAAATACGGAATGATATTTCGTTGAAACGCTGCTCTTGACCAGTTATTTGGAAAAAGGGAGGGCTATGACATGGTTTGATGTATTAAACTGTCAGATCGAAAGTTTAACTGTTGGCTGGCCTACATTTTTAATGTTAGCTTTATGAAGACAGTGGAAGGGTTTCCTAAATAACAATAGCCCACCGAGCGCTGTCTTCAAACAATAAAGCTAGATAAGTTCAATTAAAAAAGCTTCACTAAACAGACGCTTTATTATTTCCTGAAACTTTCCGTGACAGCAGAATTAAAACGAGCTGAACTGGAGCTCTACTGGTTTATCATTTTCTCCTGAATTTACAAATCAAAAACTAGAGCGCTAAAATAGCAGCAACTAGGAAAAAAAATAAGGAACCCAGGCACGCTTTAAAAAATTTCCAGAGGAAGACAAACAAGAGCAATACAGGAGGTCAAACGCCTAGAAAAAAATTTACAGAGAAAGAAAACATTTTAAAAAACATTTACAGATAAAGACAAAAGGGAGCAAATTAGGAGGCCAAACCCCCAGAAAGGAGAACAAAATAATAATTGAAGTCAAGATAACATGTCATTAACAGAAGCAGATGTTTGCAAAGCCCATGCAAAAGCTTTATGTTGCGTGTCTGTGGCATTACGAAATCGTGTATCACCATGAAAGTCATTTCTCTTTGAGCTACGAGAATAAGATGGCTTTTTTCTTTTTATCTGCCAATCTTCTTGCTCTGGTTGTATCGGCGAGTTCTGTGAAGACTTCAAAAGGTGAGGTCTTTCTTCCTTTTTGCTTTATTTTCCTGATATCTACATCGTCTTTTTGAGAAAGTCGAAACCATTTTAATTGGTAATTTTCATTTCTTTATCAAAACACAGGACAAACGCCAAACGTTGGGTTTGTCTTCACCAATTTCCTTGCTCACAAAGGCTACTATTTGAACGTTACAACTGTTGGTGCAGAACTGGTCCAAGACTCCCTTGAGTGCGTTTTCAAGTGTCTGGAGAAGGATCCATGTTTGTCCTTCAACCTGGCCGATTTGGATGATAACATTGACAATCTGCTATGTGAACTGCTTCCATCTGACCATTACACCCATTCAGACAAGTTCATCACCAACCATCTTTGGTATCACTACAGTATTGTGGTAAAATTATTTTCCTTTTTCTACTTTATCCTATCATCACTTTTTTTGTTATTACTATTATTTCATCCTAATAATAACTAAAATCAGTTCCAATCGTTTGAGCAAAGTTTATTCAAGTGTTCAACGTTAATATATATCTCTCGTCCGAAGCCATTTTTAAGTCGTTTTATTGATACGTCTTCGAAGTTTGTTTAACTGGTTTTATCAAGGGAGTAAGTAATTGATTTTCTCGGTTTTAGTCTCCTTGTTCGAGGTTGCCCTGTCAGAACAATGGAACTTGTGTACCTCTGTACCGGACAAACAGCTACAAGTGTCGCTGTACGAAAGCATACACAGGAAGCCACTGCGAAAACGGTAAAAGGTGTTAGTTCCTAGGACAACATTTTCAAAAATATTTCGCGCGCGTGCCTTTCGTATCTGATTCCTACTGAGCTATCATTCATCGTCATTTTACCTCACATTGACTTGTTTTGATAAATATAAATGTTTTCCTATTGTTATTCATTTCCTCTGTTCTTCTATATCAGTTGATAATGACTGCAGCTGTTCATCAGGACCAGAAGGAAAACAGAGATGCAAAATAGGTCAGTTAATATTCCACCTTCAAGTTAAGGTAGCTTGAAACAGCTTTCCGAGACACCTATACCGAATATATATAAAAAAAAAACCCTAAAAAAGCGACTTTCCCTTTACGAAGCCAAACGAAATTCACTCGTGTTCACAAAATGATTAAAGTCTGAATTAATGGGCGTTTCAAGGCAACCACAATTGATGTACTTATATATGGGGAAATCCCGTTACATAGTTTTTTAGATCGATCTCGTAATACGAAGCCAATATCCAGCCATCTTGACCGAACAAGCTTTTTAAATATAGAGGATCCATCTTTTAGCGAACGATTTCTCTTTATTTTGAAAGAATCAAGAATGAATTTCTGACTTCCAGAGCCGAGAAAGAAAGGCAGCTGTCTTTGTAGCACAATAAACCCACGACAGTCCTTTATGTTTTCTTTGTTTTGTTTGTGGTGGTCCTCCGCCGATTTTTGCGACTTCACCTCCGGCATTGTCTAAAAATTGCTAACTCCTTTAGTCCGCTCGGGTAGCTAATGTCAGCGATGGATTCGCTTCATATTGTCCTCGGGTACTGTCAGCGATATAACGCATGATTCTACTATGGCGAAATAGAAATTATCTCAGAAGTGAAAATAAATTCTATTTGACGGCATGTTTTGAAAATTTTTTAAAATGACTGAGAACACGATGAAAATTCGTCAGATGAAACGCTATTACGACAAATTCAATAAACTTGATTTAGAGCTCAGACAATTTGCGTCACGCCAAATCCCCGATTGCAGAACGTCTACAAGAAATAAAATAAAACAAAATAAAAGTAAGCAAAAAACAAAAGGTAGAATAACATAAAAAAGGAGATACATAATACAAACAGAAAATGAGATGCCACAAAAACCATCAAAACGGCCCAAGAGATACTGCCAAATCAGGCAAAACACAATAAAATAGCAAACGCGGAGTAAAAACAATTTGGCCCGGAACACGTACGGTCAAAACGACGATGCCAAATCAGGCAAAAGGTGCAAAACAAACGGAGGTCAGACTACTAAACAAAATGACACTGCCAAATCAGGCAAAACACAACGAGGGTAGACTAAAAGATCAGCAATGACAAGGTGAGGATTAGAGCTGAAAGAAAAGAGACGTGCATGGTAAACGAGGATGAAAAAAGCTCACCTAAAATCTACCCGCAACGCCAACATTCTGAATCTCGGGCAACCACTGAAAACCGAGGGACGCGCCTTGTAAATTTGCCTCTGGCCGGGACCTTCCAACAAGAGGTCTTCTATGCAAGGAAGCTCAAACCCTCCCTTAACAAAAGACTTGAACTGAGAAGAGCTGTCATGCAAAAAGGGCCAAAAATAGGCCGAAGGCCACTATGGGACGATCAAAGTGCCGAAGCCAGAGCACGACGAGAGAGCTCTAACAGAAGGGACGCTGGCACTTACAGAAGGGCAGACCCAATTGCTCTCGTCTCGCCTATCCTGGGCCGAGGCGTCAACGCCGCAGCAGCCGGGGGAGGCGAATTTAGAATTGTAATGCGACGCAAACCGATCGATTGTGTGAGGGCCCCATTGGCGTCAATCACTCGAAATACAGAAGGGTTGACGGACCAGTCATCTTTGTCAACAAATCTGCTGAGAAGATCTGCCCTTTCATTAAGCGACCTTGGGATCCATTGCGCTTCCAGAACGATGCTGTTAATAAAACAGAGATTAAAAATGTCCATAGCCAGAGCCTGGAGATTAATTTTGGAGCTCCCGATAGCAACAATTCTGGCGGCGCCCTAATTATCAGTAAAGATTTTAACTCTCTTGTGTTTCAATCGAGCAACGTAGGAAAGCAACACGAAATAAATAGCTTTCAGTTCGCGGAACTTTGGCCGATATCTTCGGGTTCCCACATGCCGCTGATAACGGTGCCGTCTAGAGAAGCTGAAAAACCTCCGAAAGCTACTAATCACTTGTGTCGGAAAACATTACGGTGTGGGTCGCTGATGGTGGCCTTATAGAATAACCGTTGAGGCAATCGATGTTGCAGTACCAAACGTACCGCAGATATTTTGATACTCTGTTCAACCACCTTCTCATCAATGAAGCTGGTGGACGGACACTCGAAAACATTTACGGCTGTGGCAGGTTGAAGGCAAAACTCAGAAAAAAAAGTCACTCATGCAAACGTGTCATCTTTTAGAAAAAGTTCGGATATAACGCGCGATGTCATTGGTAGAAAGAGCGTGCTCTATCAGAGTACAAAACATGGAGCTGAGCTAAAGCTGCCACGCCAATTTCTTCTATGCTCGACCATTTTCCGGACTTCCCTTAGCCTTTTTTTTTCGTGAATTGAAAATGAATTTTCGGAACAAGCGTGCCGATAAGTAGCAATAGAGTAGTCAAAAAAGGTCTGTATAAATATGCCAAGCGCTGTGATTGACGTTATTATAACGCAAAAATCCTCAAAGAGGAAACGAAGTGAACTGTCCGACTTTTGAAGGTTTTCACGTAAGCTTAGGTACGGTAATAAATATCAAACACATCTAACACACGTATATAGTTTCGTGTTCACAAAGTTTCAATAGCTTCGTCTTCGAAGAAGTGGGGAGAAACACTCCTCTACGTCTCGTGTATCCCCTTACACTTCTTTCCTGCTCTAGCCACTTCCTCCGTGCTTCACAACAGAATGGAGCACAGTCAAGGCCTTTCTATTTGTTAATTAGTATAGCTATCGGGTAATTACAGAGATGTGTAACTTACTCCCAAGCACTCTTTATAGCGAATGAGGTAAAAAAGTGGTGGTTTAGTGACGAAGGCAAAAAATAGACACAAACGCGCGCGCTCGCACACACGCACACACTTGGCTGCACCCAAACACAAAAGAGGTGAATGGGCTAAGAGACGCGTCCTACATTCTATTCACTAGTGAATGATAACTTCGTGTTTTGACTTCTTTACCCTATGCAATAACCATGACGCGTAAACGACGATCTTCATATTCTACATTGTTAATTACATTATGGCCTCAGATAGTTGATGAGAGCGCACCCGAACCAGCTACCTTGCAAAGAAACTGGGGGCAAATTACAAGTTACCTGGGTAGGACTGCGGGTCGTTCAAAGCTTGGCAACAAGACGGGATTGAGTCTTATTCTATGTTGCCTACAATTGAATACTGTGTGGCATTCTTGAAGAACGCTAGAACATTTATACAAATAGTGTATACTTCTAAATAGGAAAATTTTATTAAAGAAAGCGCAGTTGCTCAAAAAACTGTCTAAAAATTTTTGCAATTCATTTCCTCTGTTGTAGAGTACCTTATGGTGTTTCCGGAGCTGCGTTCTACAGAAAATTACGCCATGAAGAATCCAGCCATAACTTCAGATCTCAGCCAGTTGTCGTTGTGTTTTTTTATCAAACTTGTTCAAGACCAAGGGCTTCAGAATGTCGTCAGCTATGCCAGTGAACGTGGCAACGACATGATTCTCGAAATTCATCCAACATTAGGAGTATTTACTGTTGGCAACAAAAACATCCAGTAATGCTGCGTATATTTTTTAGTAGTCAGTTGAAGAATTATTATTCTTATTCGAGCCACAATAAGTTATTATACAGGAAATGCTACGATCGACTTCTTCCTAACTCGGAGAGAGAAAGTTAAACACACCAACAAACGGAAAGCGTTAAGCTTCTTTCTCTTTTCTTATCATGATTTAAATACCAAATATGTTAATCTTTGACCGAAACAAATCTAGACGTATTTTCCTGTTGCATTGCAAATAACTATTCGGGTCCTTTTTTAAATAGGGCTCAAGAGTCGTCTTTAAAGTGACGAGGACTTGCTTATTACGGTTTTAGCCATAAAAGGATGAGGTTTCTTAACCGACTCGGCTTTCAAAATAGTAGCTCAGATGATAATTAAACATTTTATAAGTAGAGAAAGATGTTTTTCATCTTGCCACGAGCGTAGGACAAAGAAAAAAATTCTGAGTTCCCTTGAGGAATCGAACCTCAGACCTTCGGATTTCGCGTGCTGAGCTACAGAGATTCTACAGTGAGTGAGGTCTCTATTTTATAAGCTTGAATGTATGAATGATTTAGTCATTGATAAACGATTGATTGACTGAATGACAAGCCACTTACATATTCCTATAAACTGACTGACTACGGACTAACAGACTGAATAACTCTCTTCACCGACTTAGTGACAATGAAAAAAGGAGGGTCTTAAATGATCAAATATATTTAATATTGTATGCTTTTTGTTTTGTTTTTTGTTTTGTTTTGTTTCGTTTATTGTTTTGTTTTTCTTTTCAGTTTTACCTCGACAAATCTCTACGATGATACCTGGCAACACCTGTGTCTCACCTGGGAAAACACTCAAGGAATAACGAAACTTTATAAAGATGGTCAATTTACAGAACAGGTAACGAATGATGCCAGTAAGAATTACGTACTTAAGGCTGGCGGCTTCCTGGTGCTTGGACAAGAGCAAGACTCTATTGGCGGAGGCTTTGATCGTAAGCAAACCTTTCATGGCCGATTGGCAAGTGTCAACATCTGGGATAAAGTTCTGTCCGAAGGCGACATTGCCGCTCAGTACACAAATTGCAGCATACCTCATGGTTCTGTTATTAACTGGTCTGTATTCAAAAATCTTACTCATGGCAATGTTACAGTTGAAGAGCCGTGAACTACATTGGTCAGTGATCAAAACTCTTGTAGAGCCTAAAATCATAAATCGCGTGATGTGAATTCCTATTATTAGTGAATATACCATATGCATGGCATAGTACTAAAATAGATACCAAAGCTGTTAGTTAGCCAGTTATTTGGAAAATATTTCATTCATTTATTTATTCACCTATTTCCTCAGCTTTTTGATAAAATAGGATAAAATAAGAGGTAAATTTTAGGTGACCGGTGTTTGCCATAAAGTTAACATAGCTCATGGCAATGTTGCATTTGAAGAGCCGTGAACTGCATTGGTCAGTGATCAAAACTCTTGCAGAGCCTAAATCATAACTCGCGTGATGTAAATTCCTAATATTAGTGAATGTACCATATGCATGCCTTAGTACTAAAATAGATACAAAAATATGAGTAGATATTTCGTTGAAACGCTTCTTTTGGCCAGTTATTTGGAAAACACGTCATTTATTTACTCACCTATTTACTCAGTTGTTTGATGAAACATATTGAAATAAGATGTTAACTTTTAAGTGACCGGCGTCTGCCATAAAGTTAAGACAATTACTTGTTTGATTGTAAGCAGTCTTAACAACGTAAAACTTTTCTTCTCTGTTCTAATTCATTCTTGACACTTGAGAAGAAGTTTCGAGGGCCTTTCGAGATCTTTCAAGATCCCAAAGAAATTTCAGACATTGAGAGGCTGACAATACTTTGAATGTGCGCCTATGAAAGCCTTTTAGAATGATAATCGCATATGCCCTGTCGCATATTATAAGTTGCGATTATGAGAAAAGCCTGCATGTCCTTAATAAGCCACCGTGTTCTACCGCTTTTGCAACCTCCTAAAATATTTAGGGTGTTTCTGTACAGTTTTCTTGGAGTCCATATTACTTGACATCGAAAAACATCGCATGTCCCATAAGGGCCACAATAGAAGAAAGATATAGGTAGGTTCTTTACAAATCTGATGTATGCTTGCAGTAGTCTAGAAAATTCCAGAATAAAAGTTACAGAATCTGGAAATTCTGCTATTGACATCGTAATTTTAGAACTAGGGTATGTGCTACAGACGGATGGGGGTGGGGGAGGGCTATGACAAGGTTTGATGTATTAAACTGTTAGAGCGGAAGTTTAGCTGTTGGCTGGCCTACATTTGTAATGTTGGCTGTTATGCAGACCCCCTCCCCCCTCCCCCCCTCCGGCTCCCCTCCTCCATGGTGAACCTTGCATTACATCTCTCCTGTATTATGTTTCTTGAAAACTACATCATCCAAGCCAATCAAGATGAAAAATCTTTTCATTTATGTTTTCGATGCAAATCCTCAGACTCAAGATAGAGCACTTTTCGATTCAGTATAGCAAAAGCGTGAAAAACAAACCTGTAAAAGGAAAGACCAAAAATTGCCAAAAGAATTCAGAGTAAAATTAGGCTGCGGGCTTCCCAAATAACAAAACCCACCAAGAGCTGTCTTCAACCAGTAAGGCTGGATAAATACAATAAAAAAGAAACTTAAAAAAACATACGCTCCATTATTTTCTGAAACTTTCCGTGGCAGCAGAATTAAAACGAGCCGAACTGGAGCTCTTCCCTTCCATTATTTATCTCCTGAATTCACACATCAAAAACTAGAGCGCTCCAAAATAATTAACAGCGACTAGGACTGAAAAAAAAAATAAATCCAGGGGCACTAGAAAACATATACAAAGGAAGACAAACAGGAGTAAATCAGGACGCCAAACCCCCCGAAAAAGGAAAACGAAATAATCATTGATGGCAAGATATGACTTTAACAGAAGCAGATATCTGCAAAGCCCATGTAAAAGCTTAGTGTTGCATGTCTGTGGCATTACGAAATCGTGTATCACCATGAAAGTCATTTCTCTTTGAGCTAAAAGAATAAGATGGCCTTTTTTCTATTTATCTGTCACTTTTCTTACTCCGGTTGTATGGGTGAGTTGTGTGAAGACTTCAAAAGGTATCATCTCTCTTCCATTGCAGTGATACTCGCCTTCCCGTTTGCTTTATTTTCCTGATATCTACCAAGTATTCTTTTAAAAGTGTAAGCCAAATATCATTTTCATTGATCATATTCATTTCTTTATCAAATACAGGACAAACACTTAGCGTTCGATTTGTCTTCACCTATTTTCTTGCTCACAAAGGCTACTATTTGAACATTACACCCATTAATCAAGTTAATCACCAATCATCATTGGTATCACTGCAGTATTGTAGTAAATTCTTTTTCCTAATACGCGTTTTTGGCCAGGATGACTGAACATTCGCTTAGTTCTTTTTTTCCCTTTTTATGGACCTTAACTTCCTCTCGGTCAATAAGGAAAGGGAGAGAAAGAACGAAACCAATATCCGGCCATCTTGATCGAACAAGCTTTGTCAATAAAGGATTTATTATTTAGCAAACGATTTCGCTTCATTTTAAAAGAATTACGAATTAAGAATGATATTGTTTTACCTCGAAGGTCGTGTTTGTAGCACAATAAACTCATGAGAGTCGTTTATGTTTTCTTTGTTTTGTCTGTCCCCTGCCAATCTTTGCGACTCCACCGCCGGGTAGCCGATTCGAACTCAGGATTCGATTCATATTCTCCAAAGGAGCTGCCAGCGATATAACGCATGATTTCATGTATTGTATTTTGCTGTAGTCTTATCTCCTTCGATACGCGCTAAGTACGAATTAAGTAAGAGAAGAACGTTATTCTCCTACCATGGCGAAATAGAAATTATCTCGGAAGTGAAAATTCAATTTGACGGGACGACTTGAAAATTTTTTACAGTGGCTAAGAACACGTTGAAAATTCGTCAGATGAAACGTTCTTACGACAAATTCAATAAAATTGATTTAGAGCTCTGTATATGTATATAAAAGGAGGGTCTTGAATGATCCAATATATTTAGTATTGTTTGCTTTTTGTTTTGTTTTGTTTCAGGTTTACCTCAAAAAATCTCTACGATGATACCTGGAAACACGTGTGTCTCACCTGGGAAAACACTCAAGGAGAAACGAAACTCTATAGAGATGGCCAATTTACCGGACAGCTAACGAATAATACATGCCACTAAGAATTATGCACTTAAAGCTAGCGGCTTCCTGGGGCTTGGACAAGGGCAAGACTCTATTGGCGGAGATTTTGATCGTCCGCAAACTCTTTATAGCCGATTGGCAAGTGTCAGCATGTGGAATAAAGTTCTTTCCGAAAGCGACATTGCCGCTCAGTACACAAATGCAGCGTACCTCGTGGTTATGTTTTTAAAAAATCAATCAAAAAATCAAAAACCTTAATCGTGGCAATGTCACAGTTAAATGGCCGTGGACTGCATTGGTCAGTGATCAAAACTCTTGGAGAGCCTAAAATCATAACTCGCGTGATGTAAATACCTAATATTAGTGAATGTACCATATGCATGGCATAGTACTAAAATAGATACCAAAATATGAAATGATATTTCGTTCAAACGCTGCTTATGACCAGTTCTTTAAAATCATTTCATTTATTTATTCACCTATTTACTCAGTAAAATGTTTGCAGTAGTCTAGGAAATTCCAGAGTAAAATTTACAGAATCTGGAAATTCTGCCGTTAACATCCTAATTTTAGAACCGGGGAATGTGCTATAAATGGGGACGAGGAGGGAGGGCTATGACATGGTTTGATGTATTGTATTAAAGGAAAGTTAAAAAATTGCTAAAAGAAATAAAAAAAAAACACCCAGCGCTGTCTGCAAGCAATAAAGCTAGATAAGTACAAAAAAAAATTAAATAAATAGACGCTCCATTATTTCCTGAAACTTTCCGTAACAGCAGAATTGGAACGAGCTGATTTCAATAACTGAAACTCTTCTGTACCATTATTTATCTCCTGAATTTACAAACAAAAGGTAGAGCGCTCTAAAACCATAGCAACTGGGAAAAAGAAAGATAACGAAACCAAGGGGCGCTAGAAAACATTTACAGAGGAAGACAAACAAGAGCAAAACAGGAAACCAAACCCCCTAAAAAGAAAAACAAAATAATAATTGATAACAAGATATCGTGTCATTAACTGTTAAAGCAGATGTTTGCAAAGCCCATGGAAAAGCTTAATGTTGCGTGTTCGTGGCATTGCGAAATTGATTATCACCATGAAGATCACTCGTCTTTGAGCTTCAAGAATAAGATGGCAGAATTAAAACGAGCTGAACTGGAGCTCTACTGGTCCATTATTTCTCTCCTGAATTTACAAATCAAAAGCTAGAGCGCTAATTGAATTAACAGCAACTAGAAAGAAAAATAAAGAAACCCAGGGGCGCTAGAAAACATTTCCAGAGGAAGACAAACAGGAGCAAATCAGGAGGCCAAACGCCTGAAAAAGAAAACAAATTAATAACTGATGACAAGATATCATGTCATTAACCGAAGCAGATGTTTGCAAAGCCCATGTAAAAGCTTAATGTTGCGTGTCTGTGGCATTACGTAATCGTGTACCAACATGAAGGTCATTTCTCTTTGAGCTACAAGAATAAGATGGCTTCTTTCTATTTATCTGCCAACTTTCTTGCTCTGGTTGTATCGGCGAGTTCTATGAAGCCTTTTTTAAGGTGTTCCTTTTTGCTTTATTTTCCTGATATCTACATCTTCTTTTAAAGAAAGTATAAGTCGAAACCATTTTAATTCGTCATATTCATTTCTTTATCAAAACACAGGACAAACGCCAAACGTTAAGTTTGTCTTCGCCAACTTCCGTGCTCACAAAGGCTACCATTTGAACGTTACAACTGTTGGTACAGAACTGGTCCAACGCTCCTCTGAGTGCGCGCTCAAGTGTCTGGAGAGCGATCCTTGTTTGTCCTTCAACCTTGCAGATTTGGATGATAACATTGACAATCTGCTATGTGAACTGCTTCCATCTGACCATTACATCCATTCAGACAAGTTCATCACCAACCATCTTTGGTATCACTACAGTGTTGCGGTAAAATTATTTTTCTTTTTCTACTTTATCC